AAATATGTCGGTATTACGTACATAAAACGAAGTAACGACATGGAACTGTTCGTGCTAGTCGTTAACCAATATGCATAGGTCCGAGTTTTTATTGCTATTAAATTTAAATAACGTAATTTTTATAGGTAACTAATTTTTATAGGAAAATAATTATTATAGGAAACTAATTTTTATTTGAAATAAATTTTGTTATAAAAAAGTAATTTCTATGTGAAATCAATTTTTATATAGAATTTATTTTTATGAGAAATCAATTTTTAATAGGAACTCAATTTTTATAGGAAATCAATTCTTATAGTAAATCAATATTTATACGGAATCAGTTTTTAAAGGAAATAATTTTTTAGTAAATTAATTTTTATAGGAAAACAATTTTTATACGAAATCAGTTTTATTGGAAATTAATTTTTATATGAAATAAAATAAAGTTATCATTCTTTATAGCAAATTCATTTTTATGGGAAATTTATTTATTGTTTCCTTTAAAACAATTATTTTGGAAATTAACTTTAATGTTAGGTACATTTTTATGAATTAATTTTTTTGCAGATTTTTTGTTTGTAGGAAGTTAAAATTTATTCTTAAAAAAAAGAAATATTTAAAAGATATTGCATAAACATATTCATACTATGTTTTAAATATAAATGTTATTTAATATTACTAACTTTAAAAAATTTAACTTTTATTTATTGTTTATTTTTTTTTATAATTCAGTTTTGAAATACTATTGTTTTTATTTATTCTATTTATTAAATTTTGTGTTGGCTGTTTCTTCCAAGTTATTCTTTTTTTAAATTTAGTCAATATATGTATAACTAATTTTTTGAATACTTAACTTCAAGGAAATAAATTAATTTTTGAAATTAATTTTTATGTTAAGTACATTTTTATAATTTATTTTTTTTGCAGATTTTTTGTTTATAGAAAGTTTAAATTTATTATTAAAAAAAGAAATATTTAAAAGATATTGCATAAACTTATTCATATTAATTAAAATTTCAAAATCTGAATGTTTTCTTTGATTACCAATTATGTGTAGATAAGTTTTGATTTTGATTCTTCAAAATTTTGTTTGTATGCGTATGTATGTATATAATTTTATAGAGTTTTGTAATATTTTTTTCTTTCTTTGTTATTTGGTATTATATTTAATTTTGGAATGGTTTAATTTTCAAATTATTGTTTTTTTTAATTATCTTTTTTTTCACTTGTAAGTTATTTTTTTAATAAATGGTGTTAATTCTTTTTAGTTAGATATTAATATGTTATTTAATATTATTAACTTTTAAACTTTTAACTTTTATTTGTTTTTTTTTAAATTAAATTTTTAAATACTATAATTGTTTTTATTTAGTGCATTTATTAAATTGTTTTTTTTTTTTGTTTTTTAATTGAGGCTACAGTTTCTTCGAAATATTATTATTTTTTTAATTTAGTTAATAAATTCTGAATTTTTTGAATTCATAGTAGTTGCACACCATTTCATATCACTTGACAATTTGCCAAATTTCGTAATCGCGCATTCTCACCGAATTCGATAGCCGTCGTCGCATAAGTAAATTAAATTTATTTAAACTTTTTGAAATTACATGTCAATTCAATGAAATGTTTCCCGCACAAATTCTAAAGAGCTGCGGGATGAAAATAAAAGAAGCAAATTTTATACATTTCTTGACACAATTTTACTGACGAGTGTCGTAAGCGCAGCTGCAACGCATTATTTTGCCAAATTTGCTAGCGCTTTTCTGCTGATTCTATGTAAAAAAACCAAAACAAAGCCGAAGCTAACACTGCTACCAAACAGCCCCGCCCACCAGGCATCCCAAACTAATCACCGTTGTGTGTTGGCTAATTCTTCGGTGACAATCAGCTGCCGTCATCAAGGAGGGAGGAGAATGTTGAGTGGGTGGTTGGTGGCCGGCCAGCAACCATAAATGCTCAGCTGCAAAGCACACACACACAGCCAATCACACAAATGCAAGTATCTGTGATTATTTGTATGAGATAAGAGCATAACTGAAAGCAAAGAATTTTTCGTTGTTTATACAATAAATGTTTGCGGTCTTTTTGTGCACCTTTTTTGGTTGTGCGTTTGTGTGTGTGTGTTCTGCAGCTCCGATGCGGCCAAAAATATATTCGAATTCTCTGTGAAAATTGTGTAATATTCTTACAGGTTAAATAATTTCGCTTCCTAGTGCTCGCAGCGGTAATATATGCTCGTCTGTGTGTGTGTGCCTCATTTTATGTGCTGCTATTTTCGTCATTTACTAACATACAAACATATCTATAGATATACATATGTACATTTACATCTATAACGCTATGTATGTTTGTAAGCTTTGTACTATAATTTATTGTGTATTATTTAATATTTTTTTGGCATTTACCGCTAATATTTATTCGGCTTTTTTCTTGCTGTTTCTCTATGCTAATATTTTAGTAGGTCGCCCCCGGCCGTAAATCGCATATTTTTTGTCATAAGCATACGAGCATCATGCATACATATCTATGTACATGTATTTATATACATACATACATACATATGCACATGCTTAATAAGTAGGTTTTTTTTTTCGCCTACCATTTGTATGCTTCATGTCCGTCTGCACGTTCACGAGACTATTTCGCTTTTTGGCAGCTCCCGGTATTTAGGTGATGCTCGCTATTACCTCTCTGTCGTCTCGCCGCAGCCGTTGCTGGCAGTAGCACCTGTGCCTATACTAGCTGCCTGCCTGGCTGACCTCGTTGTCGTCATAATTTCCCTGCTTCAAAATATTTCTCTTTCACAACAGCAAATTATTTATCACTGCATTGTTTAAGTGCATTGCACTTTCAAGTTTTCTGACGAACTTTCATCGAATTCATAGATTTTTAGGTGAGATATATACAACTTTTCTACGGCTTTGTCTTTTAATCAGAGACCATACCGAGTAAAGTACATATATCTATATACTATATACCCAGCTCTCAAAAATACGCTTAAAAATTCATTTAAAAACACCCAAGAAAAGAAAAAGAAATTTACCTCTATCAAAATTTCTTAAATCAGTTTGCAGAAAAAATGTCCTATATTTATTTCTAGATGACAATTTACAGCAACGGTAAATCAATTTTTCAAGCTACGGAAAGAATGAAAAATATTTTTTGAGATTTTTCTTGAGAGCCTTAGCATCCGCAATAGTAAAAGTAACATCTTTTTAGCATCTATGTAAACCATACTCTCCAGAAAGGCCTCTGATAAAACCTGAGAAATGATGAAAAATTCACAACGGTTCTCAAAAAATCCTGTATAAAATACGAAAAAATTAAAAATAAAATCTCGCGTTTTAAAAAAATTCGCACTATTTAATTTTTTTATCAATGCCAAAAAAAACCTACTGTTTTTTTCTGAAAATTTTAGACGTAATTTTTTCACAATCTCTTAATAATTATAATAAAATGTTTTTGCCTCTGTTTTTCTAGTGTAGTTCCGACCAACCATTGAGTGGAAAAATATTAAAAAATAGAAATTTATTTCGTACATATTTCTTTTATACATATTTTATCAATTTCTTATTTATTATTTTATTTATTATCTTATAACTTTATTTATTATTTTATTTATTATCTTATAACTTTATTTGTTATTTTTTTTATAATTTTTTTTTTAATATAAATATATATTAGATATATATTTTTTGATGATTTTTTGTGTTGTATTAATTTTTTAGGCTTACATTTTTTTTGTTTTTGATCTCATTGTTTAATTTATTTATTTTTTTAATATCTTCCTTCGCTTTTAGTTTTTTACTTTATAGTTTTTAATTGTCTTACTTTTTTAGTTTTAAGTTTTTAGTTTTTCATTGCTTTTTGTATATATTTTGTTCTCTTATTTTTTATTTGTAAATTTGGATAGATAACAACCTTTTCTTAGATTTCTAACCGCTTTTGTTTCATATCTGCATTGTACTTAACAAAAATATTTTTAATTTATGTTACGTAACGCTCGTATGACAAAATGTTAAAAAAAAAATATTGAAAAAGTCAAAATTTTAAAAAGGTTTTTCTAGATTTGCATAGCAATTAAATGGCCCCTTATTCAGTGAAAAATTACAACGGTTGGTAGTAGCGATTTAAAGATATTAGTAAACTTGCGCGACGTTACAAAAAACAGAAGTGGATTTTGACTTCGATTACAAAATTGCAAAAATCTGCGAATCGGGCAACACTATTTGTATTAAAGTCTTTGTTGTAATATTGGAAATGTTTCAGGTGAATTTTCCAAGTTTTGAAATGTAAAACTCTTCGGCGTTATGTTTAATCAGCTGACGTTACCTTACTCAAATTGCCCTTGAAAATCTTTTGTTAATATTTTTCTTGAAAGAATTTTAACATGCATGCATGTCGAGCGTTCTTTTTATTTTTGCGAATAGAGTATGGCCACGCCTTCAAATTGTATTCAAAATTCGGTTCCGTCTCGATCCCTCGTTGTTGATTTCTAAACTCCCAAAAGGAGCCAAATATATGTAAATCGGCTTGTAAACATCACCTCAGCAAATATTCGATTTTTTTCTTGCCTCCACAAACAGTTGTATGTGGATATATGTATATCATAATCAGTGTGAAGAGTTCATTATTTAAAAACATATGATAAGCGAAAGACCGCTAAATGCCTAGGAATAAAGTTGGTGCCACAAGTTGAGCAAAACATTGGGACTTGAAACGATGTTACGTCCTCAACACCGAATACCTACAAATGAAGGCTTAATCTCTGCTGGGGAGTTTCAACGTCTCTAGACGTTTAAACTGGGAGCTTTAAAAGCTTTGTGAAATTCAAGTAAATTCTTTCATGAGAGAGATACAATTTTGAACTTGTTCTATCGGGTTCTTGTAACCTGGTGTGCTTCGCATTTCAATGGAGACTACCCTTTTTGACTATATTTATTCGCTTTCTAATTGATAGTTTGTAAATGTATGTACATATCTAACTAACCTCCCATTTTTTTTAATCTATTTTCCAGTATCCGCAGTTTATGTATCCAGTGCGGCAGTGGGTGTCGAGTCGGGACGTCAACGTCATGCGCCGCTCTATGGACGATTTGTGGTCGAAGAAGAGCTTCCTGCAACACATCGAGATGTTATGCATCACGTAAGTTATGAAAAAAAAAAATAATAATAAATTTTGTCTTTTTAAGTTAATAAAGTTTGTAGGACGAAATTCGATGATGTGGTCGTATGTATATTAGTACTCAGACAATAATTTTTCCAAAAATAAATATTGCAAAGTTTCAGGGATATTCAATTACAAAATTTTTGAAGGACATTTTCCATACCCATTCGTCCTTATACACCAAAAAATGTATTCCGTTGTAATTCTACAGAATTTTTTCTCTTATATTATACCTTTATTGTTATTCTAAATTGCACTGAATTAAAAAAAAAAGAAAATGATATAATCATATTTTTTACATTTCAAAGTACTTTTCAAAAAATCTTGACGTCAGAGAGAAAAACTTAGTATAATTTTTTTTGTGTGTAAAATTTACTGTCGTACGTACTGCCAAAAGCCCCCGAAAAATGCAATGGGGGACCAATAAAAAATCGTTAGTATCAAAAAATGGTTAGATAAACGATTGGGTATTATTACTGAAATTCTCCTGAAGAGAACCAGAGTCCGATCGAAAAATATTGGTTTTCCCGAATTCTATACCATTTCTATGATTTTTTTTCCCCCCCATATAAAATATATGGAGAACTTTGAGCGCTTTGAGCCACCTCTAAATATTTTTTGATTTCAAAATAAAAAATAGCGGTATACGTTTTTTTCGATATCGAACAATCCTAGGGAGTGAGAGCATAAAAATTGCGGCTTTACTTTTTTTTTGGACCACCCTAATGTGCATACATAGTCGTCCATTCGACAAATTTTAAAAGACTTACTCCCAAATTCATAAAAAACAAGCAAGTCTTTAACCGCTTTATAAATCGTTTTTTAATTTAATTTTTTTAGAAGACATACTTATTTTAAATTTTTATTAAAAGTTTGAGGACGTTCTACACTTGCTTTCCTCTCAATTCCAAGTAATATCATTTTAATTCAGGAAATTTAAATTAAATTTATAGTTTTACATAAACTTTTTAGCGTCTTTGCATTTTTTAATAAAAGTAAAATTTTTCGCCAATTTACTAATTGCCTTTCAAGCAAAAAATTCATTCACTGTTGTCATGCCACAAGTGTTGTTCGTGTTTCGTTTTTTGCAATTTTAAAGCTTTCATGCAATAAAAAATTTTTATTACAATAATAAATGTTATGAATCTTTCATCGTTTTCTTTTCGTCTTTACTCTGCAGCGATCTAGTCCGACGTCATCGTCTGAGGTGCGTGCCATGCAGGCACGAATTCCAACACATTTTCGTGATCCAGCAACAGCGCCGTTGCGAAAATTAAGTGTGGATTTGATTAAGACCTACAAGCATATAAATGAGGTAAGTATGAAGTGAAGAAAATTTTGTATAATTTTTTGAAAAGTGAAATTTCTTCGGAAAGGCATTAAAGCAAATCGAAGTTTTTTTTAATGTAATTAAGGAGCCAACCAAAAAAAAAAACTCGCCTTTTTGTTTGCCCCGGGGGGAAAAAATTTGGGTTAGTTTTTTTTTAAATGTCACACTGTAGTATGGTAAAAAGTGCAACATTGGAGGAAACGAAAACACCATCAAATCCATTAATTTTTTTAACGAAATTGGTAAAATGTTATGAATGCGTAATGCAGTTTTAACACCTTTTTTCCAAGCTTTTAAAAGATTCTATGTTTTTCGATGTTTCTGCTTTTTCGTTCCAATTGAATTTTATAAAGTGTTGATCTCATTTTGGACACATATAAAAAACGTTTACGCTGTTTCAAGCGAGTCTATGTTTTTCATTTAAGCTTAGAAAAAGTTTTTCATTGAATCGAGGCATTGCCTTTACTGTTTTAACTTAGAATTCCACTTTTTTGTGGGTTTTTATGCCTTCATTGTTATTTATTTATGGTTGGAAAACCTTCTTCAATAAACCGAAACCTTATCTACTACTTTTAATTTCCAATCTCTGTGGAATTTTCTGTTTTATTATGTTTAACTAACTCAACTACCGTTTAAAATAGAAAAGTAAATTGCCCTAAATAGAGATTTATTGTTGTTGTTTTTCGTGCCTTTTTTAATTTTTAAAAGTTTCTGTTTTCGTTGTTTTTAGTTTTTAGCGTTAAACAAAGTTAAAGTTCGTGCAGTTGTCATCTTTATAACATTTGTAAAAATTGGTGGTGATTACCAGTTGCTTGCGACAATTCTATGTTTTCTACGTTTTTATTTCAGAACTCTAAAGTACATTTTTGAACGTAATGTACACGCTTTTCTTATTTTGCATTAAGTGTTGAAGAGAAGTTAATAAACTCACAATTTTTATGAAGTTTTCTATGTTTTCAAAAAGTGCTTATTTCCTTAGTATTAGAAGCATTTTTTTCTTTCCCTCGAAGTAGTGGGTTATGCAAAGCTTTTTTAAAGCGATTTGTAAGATGATGCTTTCTGGTTTCATACATACTCAAATTTTCACTGCTTTTAAAAAAATATATGGAGAAAATTTTAATTTTTAAATCGCGAATTGGCCTAGTTTGGGACTCTTTCTACGTTTTTGATGTCTTGGGTTTGTTAAATTTTCATAGTTTTTGTAAAGTTTTCCTCGAATTTCCCGAAAAAGAGCCAGTCTTAAGAGCAGTTGTAAGCATTTTTCAGCATTCTATATTTTCGATGTTTTCAAGCCATTCTATTAATCCCTCATAAAACGATTATTTTCAGAAATTTCGGATATTCTATGTTTTCTATGTTTAAGGAAAATTGCCATTTAATAAGAAAGAGATCAGTTGATCTTCTAAACTACATGATTTTATATAATTCTTTACATGTATGTATTACTTCACATTTTGCAAAGTGCTCACTAACTACATACATACATATCCCTTTTTTCCCCCAGCAAAAGCAGCAACAACTTCAGTAGTATGTATGTATCTATCTATTTTCCCTTGCCACCAAATTGATCTGCTTCTGACGCTGTTGTAATTCTTTGCCTTGTAACATTCATTCTTTGCTCATACTCATAATTGTTTGGCTGTCGTTGACAGTTACAACAACAATAAAAGCTACAAAATTGTCGTTTGCTTTACCAATGACGAAGCCAAAATTACAACATACAACTACTTAGTAGTATGCCGCCCTTGACCCAACGACAGCAGCAACGACGACTTTTCATCAGCTGCCCTAAACAGCAGTAATAACAACAACAATAATGCTGGCAATTTTTCTCAACTGCAACATTGTTGCCACCTGCGTCAGCGCGTGCACAAACACATGCTCACATGTATGTATTGATGGATGTACGTATGTATGTATGTGCCGTGCACATTTTAAAATAAACGCAGTAAAAGTCATTGAATTGCCTTTTAGTAGCTACATAGTCGAATAAGTAGTCAGTCGAGAGGGTGCGGGGGGTGGTGGACGAGCCAAGTCTGTGAAATTCTAAACTATTGCGGTCATCACTATACATTCGCATGTGTTTGTTTGTATGTACGTAGATATTTTTTTCTGGATCCAACACAACTTGAGTCTGTTGTTTAACTTGCCGCCCCCCTCACTGCCCTGACTCACTGATTTATCAATTTTTCTTGTTGCTTGTTTTTTTCCTCGTTGTCTCCCTGTTGGTGCGCTTGTGTTTGTAAAAATAGCCAACAATAATGGGAAATAACAATTGACGACATCGGAAAAGTGAAAATTTCTGATTTTCAAATTGATTTTAAATAATTTAACGCGTGCCTGCCAGCTTGCGTGCTTGCCTTTGATTTGTGGTTAGCAGCACGCTGAGCAACAGCAGGAAGACGGCATTTTTTGTGATTACAAAACAGTGTAGGTTGTAATTTTCGTCTACTTTATTTTTCAGTGATTAGATCAAATTTATGATAATTTAAATTTCTGCGAAAAGCATCAAAAACATAGAAAAGTGGGTTTAAGTGGTAGAACAAATGAAGAGTCTATTAAGAAGGTTCGTAACATGATGCCCAAACACGAAAACCATAAAAAAGTTGGTTTGTTTCGCGGCGGCTTTAATTTTAAAAACATAGAAAACATTGCACGTGTAATTTGAAAGAACCCAATTGGTTTTCCATTAAAACATTTGCGTAAATTCTTTCTGAAGCTATACTGGAGAATTTTACTCATTTGTATTGGTTTCAAAAAGCAAAAATAATATGTAGTAATTATTTTTAATGCGAAAACAAATAAAAAATAAATGAAGGAAGTTCGTAGCTTAATGTATTCCTGCCACTATTTAGAAAACATTGAACGATGCAATTCGAATGCATATAACTTAACTTTGAATACCAAAAGTTTACACTGATCGTTTAAAAGCCAATCTGAAATGTGTTATTCTAATTAAAATTTTGGTTATTCTATGTTTCTTGGCATTTTGAATTGGTTTCGGTGCATTAAAATAGATAGAAAAATTAAATCGAACAAATGAAAAAGGCTTATAGCACAATAAAATCGTATACGTGATTTAAAACTAAAAAAAAAAACAACGTTTACAGTACGTTTTATGTTAAAGAAAAAAACATAGAATGTAATGAATAGAAGAATTTAAAAATGCATAAATAAGTTTCACTTACGTACACTGTTTTGAAAGTTATACTTGCATGCTAAAGTCAAATGCTTAATTTATTGGTCCATTTCGGATAATATCGGAAACAGAAACAATACGTTTATCATAGTTTTATGCACGCAAATGTCCATTTTCTACAAACAAGCTAAAAATAAACTGTTCTTGGCACATTCATATTTTAAATCCAAAACATCGAAAACATAGACTTAATGCAATAAAAAAAA